AATATAATATAAATTATAAAAAATTAAGATATAAAAAATATAAATTATTAAATTATATTTTTATAATAAAAATATTAAAAGTAATTTATTATAATTTTTACTAAATATGTATTTTTATTAATATTAAAAATGTTTTAAATAAAGTTTTAAAAACATTTAAAAAAAATATATTTTTAAAGACTACTCAAACCAATTATTTTTAGAATAAAACTTAATTGTAGACACTCACCTGTGAGGTCATTACTATTGTCACTCCCACAAGTACTGCATCTCCATTTATTCTTTCTTTTACTCATTCCGTTTTTTATTCATAGTCGTTTAAGGTTTTGCACGAGACTTAAGAAAATGATTGAAATTTTAGTTTTCAAAAATATTTATTACATACTTTCCTATTCTACCCTCTATTTTTTTATAGTATTTCATTGGAAACATATTATCCTTTTAAATGCAACATTAACTTCACATAAGTAGTTAGAGAAAAAATAGGTAGACATTAGAAATAAATAGACACATTGTTCAGTAAACATACATTAATAATCAAGGGTAAAAAAGAGAAAAAAAATTAATAAGTCATTGATTTTAGTAAAATGAAAATGAAAAAAAAAATGATAAATTCTGACAAAACGACTATGAATAAAAAATAGAGAGAGTATTATTATTCTTGTCATTGTTATCATTATCTGTCGTTGATGATAACAATGATGATGATAATAATGATAATAATAGCGATGATGATAGTGATAATAATGACAACAATAAATGGCGATGATGGTGGGTAATCATAATGTGACACTAATAATGATCTCATGCATGAATGTCTATAGTTAAGTTTTAATTTTAATCATTAACAATTTTTATTATAATCTAAATATTATTATTTAACTATTTCATTTCTCGTAATAAGAGATGTTTTTATTTGATATTCTCTCTATATATATATATTAAAATTTTCATTTTAATATTAACAAATAGTCATTAACTTAATAGTTAAGTATTATTGTTAGAAGTAATGGTCAAGTGTTTAAATTTAATATTTAATATTTTAACAAAAAAAAATTCTCATTTTAATACTAAAAAATATATTATGTTATGTTACCAACACATCAATTTCTTTGTCATTTGCCACACTAATGCAATATTATCATTTGTCACGTTATTAGGCAATGTTATATCACTAAAAATGATTAGATTTTTAATTTAATGAATTAAAATTATACAATTTTAGTATTTGAGATGTTAAAATTATATAATTAAATTTTGAAAAATTAAAATCGCATAAATACGACACTTTAAGAGACAAAAACGTTAAACCTAAATGTTTAATATATCCTTATAAATTTATTCCATGGCATGATTAAAAAAAACATTTCATGGCTACAAATATATATATATATATATATA